AGTCGCTGGGGGATATTTGTAGCAATAGCCAACAATACATTGTATGGGTCACAATTATACATTTCTCTTTTATGCCAAAAATCATTAGGATATTAAGATCATGTTCCTTGAAAATATTTTGTAAATGTCCTACCGTAAATATATCAAAACTTAATGTTTGATTATTAATATGCATTGCTAAGAACTTCATTTGGACAACTTTAAAGATGATTTTCTCAATATTTATTCTCAATTTTTTATAGTGATTCTTAATTAATTAATAGTGATTTTTTTTGCACCCTCAGATTCCAGATTTTCAAATAGTTGTATCCATAAAAGAAAAATCTATAATTTTGACCCATACAATGTATTGTTGGCTATTGCTACAAATATCCCCCAGCGACTCAACACTGCTTCTGTGCTCCAGGGACACATTCATGAACCTGAGAATTCAGAACAGAGTAGTTTTATGGGTGATGCACTCATCAGAAATACACTCTGCTGGAGTTTCATACGCACCAACGCAGGTCCTTCCAGTGGAGTCCACCGTCATCCCACTGGGACACTGGCAGATGAACGACCCGTCTGTGTTCACACACTTCCCATTGATGCAGACGCCGGGAAACACGTCACACTCGTTCACATCTGCACACACACAGACACACAGACACACACACAGACACAGACACACACACACACACACACAGACACACACACAGACAGACACACACACAGACAGACACACACACAGACAGACACACACACAGACAGACACACACACAGACAGACACACACACAGACAGACACACACACAGACAGACACACACACAGACAGACACACACACAGACAGACACACACACAGACAGACACACACACAGACAGACACACACACAGACAGACACACACACAGACAGACACACACACAGACAGACACACACACAGACAGACACACACACAGACAGACACACACACAGACAGACACACACACAGACAGACACACACACAGACAGACACACACACAGACAGACACACACACAGACAGACACACACACAGACAGACACACACACAGACAGACACACACACAGACAGACACACACACAGACAGACACACACACAGACAGACACACACACAGACAGACACACACACAGACAGACACACACACAGACAGACACACACACAGACAGACACACACACAGACAGACACACACACAGACAGACACACACACAGACAGACACACACACAGACAGACACACACACAGACAGACACACACACAGACAGACACACACACAGACAGACACACACACAGACAGACACACACACAGACAGACACACACACAGACAGACACACACACAGACAGACACACACACAGACAGACACACACACAGACAGACACACACACAGACAGACACACACACAGACAGACACACACACAGACAGACACACACACAGACAGACACACACACAGACAGACACACACACAGACAGACACACACACAGACAGACACACACACAGACAGACACACACACAGACAGACACACACACAGACAGACACACACACAGACAGACACACACACAGACAGACACACACACAGACAGACACACACACAGACAGACACACACACAGACAGACACACACACAGACAGACACACACACAGACAGACACACACACAGACAGACACACACACAGACAGACACACACAGACACACAGACAGACAGACACACACAGACACACACACAGACAGACAGACACACACACACACAAACGTGAAGCAGCTGAATATGAGACTCTGAATGCATGCAGACAGTGAAGCGTGATGCGAGATCTCACCCTCACAGATGGTCCCCTTCACTCGCGCGTAACCTTTAGAGCAGAACGGATCTGAAACACACAACACACACTTTACTCCGGACACACACCGGACACACATCACCAGCTTACACTAATACAGATTCTTTAATGTTTCTGAAAGACTCTCTTCTGTACACCAAGGCTGCTTTTATTTGATTAAAAATACAGTAAAAAAAAGTGAAATATTATTACAATTTAAAACAGCTGTTTTCTCTGTGAATCTCTGTTAAACTGTAATGTATTTCTGTGATGCGCAGCTGTATTTTCAGCATCATTCCTCCAGTCTTCAGTGTCACATGATCTTCAGAAATCAGTATAATATGCTGATCTGCTGCTCAAGAAACATTTCTGATTATTATCAATGTTGAAAACAGTCGTGCTGCACAATATTTTTGTGGAAACCATGATATACTACTACTTTAATAAAGCAATAAGCTCCAAGAAGCCGTGGTTCAGTGACGGCGCTACACCGGGGCTAGGGTGTCAGAATTTTTAATAGCCCCGGTTTAGCCCCATTTCTTTATGAAGTAACTCTGACGTCATCAATATCATTTATTTTCTTAGCACCCCCACATATTGGTCTAGCCCCCCCTTAGCACCCCATTCTGGCGCCGTGCCTGCCGTGGTTTACAGTGAATATGATAATGAACCCCCTTAGCTGTTATAGATTCACTGTAAACCACGACTTCACGGGGGTTACTGCTTTTATAAAACGGTTATTTCATATACGTAGTACGGTTTCACAAAATAAAACAGAGCAAATAAAGTGTAATGATATTAATAAACACAGTATTCTTCCACCAAACAATGTAGCTCCTCAGAAACAGTTGTGGTTGCTACAAAGTGGTTGCCGAGCAACACAAAAACGTAAACAAAGGTTCGAACATGGCTCAGCCAATCAGAACCAAGGACCGGAACTTTCTGTTTTATAGAAAAGATTTTAAAAAATTTATACTTTTATTCATCAAAGAGGCATTAAATTGATCAAAAGTGACAGTTAAGACATTCTCAGAGATTCGATTTCAAATAAATGCTGTTCTTTTGAACTTTCTGTTCGTCTGTGAATCCTGAAAAATAGAATGCATCACGGTTGCCACAAGAATATTGTGCAGCACAACTGTTTTCAACATTGATGATAATCAGAAATGTTTCTTGAGCAGCAAATCAGCATATTATACTGATTTCTGAAGATCATGTAATGTAATCATGTATGTGTTTGAGGTGTCAGACGGGTTAGTTAGTGGAGGTTGAGTCTCACCTGGTTCACATTTGGTACACGGCGAGCCCCAGCCCGCCCCCAGCGTAGCACAGCAGTGAGACTTCAGCGTCGCTCCGTTAATGTTAACCTCACACGGTCCATTCACCATCTTCAGCCAACACGTGCCCTTAGTGGTCTCTGACACACGCACACACACACGCATGAGGCTTTAACACACACATGTGATGAGTGTGACAGGAAGTGCACTCACCCACACACAGAGTTCCTGAGCTGTCCAGAATGCTTCCCGCGGAGCAGATACACACGAACGACCCGTCGCTGTTCTTACACTCGCTGTTCACACACGGGTTACTCAAGCACTTCTCTTTTATGCCAAAAATCATTAGGATATTAAGTAAAGATCATGTTCCTTGAAGATATTTAGTAAATGTCCTACCGTAAATATATCAAAACTTAATGTTTGATTAGTAATATGCATTGCTAAGAACTTCATTTGGACAACTTTAAAGATGATTTTCTCAGTGTTTAGATTTTTTTGCACCCTCAGATTCCAGATTTTCAAATAGTTGTATCTCGATCAAATATTGTCCTATTGACCCTTATGACTGGTTTTGTGGTCCAGGGTCACATTTTATGTAGTTAGTGTGATTTATGCCCTCAGCAGTGTGAGTGTGTGTGTGTGTGTGTGTGTGAGAGAGAGAGACAGACGTGACCCACCTTCACACACCTCTGTCTCGGGCTGGAAGGTGAAGCCCTTCGGACAGTGGCAGGTGAAGCTGCCCGGTGTGTTTCTGCACAGGCCGTTCTCACACAGGTGTCTGTTCATCATGCACTCGTCCACATCTGAAACACAGACGCACATGCGTGATGCAGACGTCTGCGCGCTTCACACGCTAATGTCTGCAGAGATACTGACCGACGCAGGTCTTCCCGCTGATGTCCACCTCAAAGCCCAGATTACAGTTACACTTGTATGTTCGGAGCATGTTCTCGCACACGCCGTTCTGACAGATATCAGGATCCAGCGCACACTCGTTTATATCTGACACACAGAGAGAGATTCACATCTAAACACATGCATGTGAACATACATGCACATAAAATACATGGGTAAGATTTTTTTTTTCTTCACTTTTTATTGTTTAATTGTTTACTTAAATCTATAGATACTAATAGTTAATGTAAATTAAACTGTATTATTTATGTAATTACAAAATATTTTGAATTATTTGTAATTCATTATGAAATCTGACCATGACAGTTTCTTCACAGTTCTCTTCTGTCTGTGTGTGTGTGTGTGTGTGTGTGTGTGTTTGGCCGCACCTCTGCCATCAGTCGTGGTTCCTAGGCCGTGACTGCAGAGAGCCGAAAACTCCGCTGGAACATAAACACACAATTTAACAACGTGTTTGCAGATGCCAGAGAACTCTAAACATGGCTGCAGCGTATGTGTGTGTGTTTGTGTTTGTTTAAGGCAACAGTCACACAAACACACGCTTCAATCTCAGACATGCTGAGCCTCTGAAGGTGCTGATGTCATCCATGATGTCATGGATTTTATGGTGAGCAGAGGCGAGGAGTGATGTGTGAGAGCTGCTGCAGAGTCACGCTACACCCGCCTGTGTGTGTGTGTGTGTGTGTGCGTGTTAGTTATAGTGTGTGTTTGAGTGTGTGTGTGTGTGTGAGAGTGTGAGTGTGTGAGTGTACCCGAGTTGAGCGGCGGGCAAGGCTGGCACGGCTCTCCGTAGGCGTACTCCACACTGGCGCAGCAGCACTCAGATTTGGTCACAGCGCCGAAGAACGGTCGCACACACTGACCACGCTTATATCCTCCGTAACACGTGCTGCGCATGTGTGTGTCTGCAGGAGAGCAGAAGAGTCCTCAGCGTCGCATTTCAACAACAACAACATGCCGCGATAAACAACCATTGACTAAATGGCTGCAGAACACCAGATCAACACTCAGAACAACAAACAAACCCTTAATGAGAACAACAAACCCTGTGTGTGTGTGTGTGTGTGTGTGTGTGTGTGTGTGTGAGAGTGAGTAAGTGTGTGTGTGTGTGTGTGTGAGAATGAGAGAGCGAGTGTTTGAGAGTTAGTGAGTGTGTGAGAATGAGAGAGTGAGTGTGTGTGTGAGTGTAAGAGTGAGTGAGTGTGTGTGAGAGTGTGTGTGTGTGTGTGTGTGTGTGAGTGAGTGTGCAATAGTGAGTGAGTGTGTGTGAGTGTGTGTGAGTGTGTGTGTGTGTGAGAGCGAGAGGGGGTGAGTGTTTGTGAGAGTGAGAGTGTGTGTGTGTGTGTGAGAGAGAGTGAGTGTATGAGTGTGTGTGAGAGTGTGTGAGAGAGTGTGTGAGAGTGTGTGAGAGAGTGAGTGAGCGTGAGTGTGAGAGAGTGAGTGTGTGTGAGTGTGAGACAGTGTGTGTAAGAGTTTGAGAGAGTGTGTGTGAGAGTGAGAGTGTGTGTGTGTGTGTGAGTGTGTGTGTGTGTGTGTGTGTGAGAGTGAGTGAGTGTGTGTGAGAGAGAGTGT